TATATTTGTATCCTTTATCCTTTCCTTTATAATAAACTGCTAAATGTAAATGAAACATTTGCAGCCAGGTTGGACAGCAATGTAGGTATCCCACGTATCTATAACTTTTGATTGACATTTGACATGAGGACAAGTTTGTGAGATGGAGCCCTTATTCTAAGGGATCTGTGCTAACTCTGGGTAGTGTTAGAATTAAATTAAGTTATGTGATACCTAGTTGGTGTTTGCAGAGAATTGAAGAATTGCTTGATGCATGAGGTCAAAAATCTACACATTTGGTACCAGAAGTGTTCTGAGTAGAGGAGTAATATTTTCGTTTATCACACAAATTATGTTCTCCAACCACAATGGAATTATATTAGACATCAGTACTAGGTCTCTGGAGAGTCTCCAACTGCCACAGCCTGGATACAGCTTGAGTGTGTCTCTCAAAGGTCATGTGTTGGAAGCTTGGTATTCCGTGTAGTGAAGTGAGCGGCGGCAGAATCTCGAAGAGGTAGAGCCTAGTGGGAGGTCACTGGGGCTTCTGTCAGAAGATATTAAGTAGTTCTCATGGAGCCCAGTTAGGTGTCACAAGACAGTTGTTATAAAAGGGTAAGACTGGCCCCTGCACTGGCTCTAGCTCTGGGGACAAGGCTGTGGGCCCTTTCCGGCTGTGTGATCCAGCATGATGCCGTCTGCCCAGTTGTGATGCCATCCTGGGGTCCTCACCAGAGCCCAAACCATGCTTTTAGACTTTTAGCTTCCAAAACTATGAGCTAAATAACAATACCAAGTATCCTGCCTCAGACATTTCTTTGTTTTTAAAGATTTTATTTATTGAGAGGTAGAGTTACAGACAGTGAGAGGGAGAGACAGAGAGAAAGGTTTTCCTTCCGTTGGTTCACTCCCCAGATGATAGCAATGGCTGGAGCTGAGCCAATCCGAAGCCAGGAGCCAGGTGCTTCTTCCCGGTCTCCCATGCAGGTACGGGGCCCAAGGACTTGGGCCATCTTCTACTGCTTTCCCAGGCCATAGCAGAGAGCTGGATTGCAAATGGAGCAGCCGGGACTAGAACTGGCACCCATATGGGATGCCGGCACCACAGGCAGAGGATTAACCTACTGTGCCATGGCACCGCCCCCCTCAGATATTTTATTATAGCAATTGTAAATGGACTGATATAATGGGCAAAAGAAGGAATCAAAAAAAGAAAATTTGAAATTATTTTGAACTCAATGAAAATTAAGACAGTGTATCAGAAGTAGTGGATGTGGGGGCCAGCGTTGTGGCTTGGTTGGTAAAGCCACCACCTGCAGCGCCAGCATCCCATATGGGTGCCAGTTTGAGTTTCAGCTGTTCCAGTTCCAATCCAGCTCCCTTATAACTGCCTGGGAAAAGCAGCAGAAGATAGCCTAACTGCTTGGGTCCCTGCCACACATGTAGGAGACCTGGATGAATCTCTTGGCTTTGGTCTGTCCCAGCCCCAGCCATTGTGACCATCTTGGGAGTGAACCAGTGGATGGAAGATCTCTCTTTCTGTCTCTGTCTCTCCCTCTCTCTCTGTAACTCTAACTTTCAAATAAATAAATAAATAAATCTTTTTTAAAAAGTAAGGGATGTGGCTAATGCAGTACACAGAGCAGAATTTATTGTACTAAACAAACACATTAGAAAAGAAGAAAGATCCCAAACTGATATCAGTTATTGTTACTTTAATATTGTGTGTGCAGAATAAAGAAATAATAATCAGAAAAGAAATCAGCTGTATCTCTTCATGCTAAAAGAAAGAGAAAAAAACCACACTTCACATATATACAAAAGTTGACTGAACTGGGTTATAGCCCATGACTGAAAATATTTTGAAGAAAAGCTTTGAGACTTTGGATTATGCATATATTTTTAGATAATATAAAAAATATGGCCAATAAAAGAAAAAATGCGAATTAGACTTCATCAAAATTAAGACCATCTATTCTTCCTCTTCCAAAGACAATGTAAGGCAAATGCAAAACAAGGCACACCTGGGGAAAGGGGGGGACAGACTGATCACACGGATGATTAGAGAACTGCACTCAGGATATTTAGAAACCACCAAAACTCAAAATAAACAACCCAATGTAGACATTTCATCAAAAAAATCCCATCATCAATAAACACATGGAAGGGTGCTCATAATCACTGGTTATTGGGAAATGCATATTGAAACTAAATGAAGCCGGCGCCGAGGCTCACTAGGCTAATCCTCCGCCTTGCGGCGCCGGCACACCGGGTTCTAGTCCCGGTCGGGGCGCTGGATTCTGTCCCGGTTGCCCCTCTTCCAGGCCAGCTCTCTGCTGTGGCCCGGGAGTGCAGTGGAGGATGGCCCTGCACCCCATGGGAGACCAGGATAAGTACCTGGCTCCTGCCATCGGATCAGCGCGGTGTGCCGGCCGCAGCGCGCCGGCTGCGGCAGCCATTGGAGGGTGAACCAACGGCAAAGGAAGACGTTTCTCTCTGTCTCTCTCTCTCACTGTCTACTCTGCCTGTCAAAAACAAAACAAAACAAAACAAAAAAACCTAAATGAGATACACGACATGCCTAATACAGTGGCTAACATTAGAAAGGCTGACCAGATCAAGTATCGGCAAGGAACTGGAATTATCACACAGGACTGTTGGAAATGCAAAATCGTACAGCCACTTTGTAAAAGTTTGATGCATTCTTAAGAAGTTAAAAATATGAGGGGTCTTCAAAAAGTTTATGGGAAATGTGAATTATGGCATAAACTATACTTGGATTTCAATTTTTTTGCACCAAAATGAACTTACGCTATAATGCTACTTTTCCATGAACTTTATAATGTACCCTTGTATAGTTATATGATTTCATAAATCTATAGTGACAAACAGGTCGGTGGTTGTTTGGGGGTTGGCCTGGAGGTGAGGGGCAGGCAGGTAGGATTACAGAGGTACAGGTACCTCTGATAGATGTGCATGATCCTGACTTCAGCGCTCATCTCACAGATGAGTACGTATGCCAAAGCTCACCAAGTTCTATATTTTAAATATAGCTCAGTATTTGTTTATCACACTGCAAGAGAGATATTTGGAAACTATAGGGTAACAAGCCTTCTTTTGTTCAGTGTTTTCTTGGAATAAATATTTCCATCCTTTCCCTCTTAGTTCTGTAATATTCTTGTAGAATAGGTAAAAGGTATTCTTATAGTATAGGCTCTTTGGAACAGTCTGAAGCTAGATTTCACAGCAACACAGCACATAATTAACAAACACTTTTTGATTTCTCAGCTTTTCCCTTCTCTCTTCCTTCTTTCCTCTTTTCTCTTTTTCCTTTTCCTCCATTTTATCTTCATTTGTTTTGATTTTTTAAGTCTCTCATTCCATCTTTTTACCATGTACCAGCTCAGAACACTACACTCTATTTTATTGGTCATCCTAACAGTTTTAACATGAACATCTCAACAAAGTCTAAAGTGATATAGTGCTTTTATTCTCATCTTTTAGGATATAAAGATCTTAGCTGTGGTGGCTTGTTTCCTTGGGCATACAATAATCTACATTTTATTCTGCCAAGTGCCCACAATGACCACAGCATTTTACAGTGTGTTTCCAGGCCACTGTGGTAGTGTGGAATCCAGCTTTTCAATGACAGCAGGGCAGGGTGGTGGATAGAGGTTCCTGAGGGAGGCCTTGCTCCTTCCAGTGCTGCAGTGGATCGGCCTCCTGCGGGGTGTTTTCTTTTTCTTCCCAGTTCATCCATCAAAGGTTGCCCTTCAGAAATTCCAGACTCATGCAGGGTACTCAGATCTGACCTCCTACCCTATTTAGGAACTAGGCTTTGTCTCCTCACCATCGCATATGAGACTTTGGTCTATTTCTTATAAATTTTTAAGTAACTACAAATTTCAACACTTACTGTATTCTCCAAGATTTCTGGTTAATAGTGCAGAGATTAAGATGAAAGTCTGGCTGGACAGCAGGTGTTTAGCCTGGTGGTTAAGACTCCTGTGTCCAATACTGGAGTACCTGGGTTCAAGGACTAGGTCTGGCTCCTGATTCCAGCTTTCTGCTAATGCAGAGCCTGGGAGGCAGCAGTGATGCCTCAAGTAATTGGGTCTCTTCCACCCACATGAAAGACCTAAAACTGAGTTCCCAGCTGCTGGCTTTGGCCCCATCCCAGCCGGAGCCATTAAAGGCATTTGGAGTATTAATTCGTGGATGGGAGATCCCCCTCCTCTCTTGCTCTCTCGCTCTCTCTCTCTCTCTCTCTCTCCCTCCCTCCCCCGTATATGTGTGTGTGTGTGTGTGTGTGTGTGTGTGACTGTCTCTCTGCTTCTAAAACAAATAACAAAAAAGAATGCAGATTCGGGATTCGGATTGGGTTCAAACCAAAGCTCTACTACTTCTTATCTATGATTTTGAACAAATTAAATATAATCTCTGAACCTAAGGCTCCTCATAGGTAAGGGGTACAGCAATAAAAGCCTGTGTCTCACAGAGTTCTTGTTGGCATTAAGCACATTAACAAATTTAAAGAACCCAGGAAATTACCTGGCATATTAAGAACATCACACTTAACGAACACACTGTACTTCCAACTATACAGCTTACTCATATCTGAGTATAAATAAACGATTTCCTCAATAAAAAAGTCACAGTCATTTGGTGTCCCTTGCTTCTGTTTTTCTCCCTTATAGAAAATATTATCTCTTGAGGTTGAATCTTCAAAAGTCTGCTTTCTCTATTGGAATTATTTCTACACGCTGTGAGAATTGCCAGCATGTTTATATAGAGAGCAGTCTGCCACTGAAATATAGCAGAATATCTCATTTGTAAGGGAAAGAGAGGTCAACAGCTGGGTCACGCCATCCAGAGTGAGACCCCATCAGCATGTGCACCTGGTTCCCTGAACGATCACGCTCCCACATGGGCTGCCGCTGCTCCATTAGTGACAGCTGAGTAAGATAAAGTCCGAGTTCAGGGCTTCTCCCAAGATAACACAGACCAGATTTCTCACGTACCTGGGGAGTGAAGCTTGGTGCTTGAAGCTGCTGCTCTCTTAGGAGAAGAGACAGCCGGTTTATTCACATCTTGATCTTTCTGTACTTCTTTCTTGGTTCCTGTATACAGTTTGAGAAGAGAAACAGAAAACGTATGTTACGGTGGAAGCGGCAATATGAACGGCTTACGGAAAGGATGATTTAAGAAAAAGCCAACAGACCAACAGCAGAATACAGCTGGACAATTAGCTGCTGTGGTCTCCACTCCCTGAGTCGTGGGGCAGACTCACTTGTACCTGGACAACAAGGCTGGGTTTGAGCGGTCAGGGCAGTGAGCTTGCTGATGTCCTGACTTGGTGAGAAACACCTCCTTCTCTGGAGGTCACTGCCACCCCATGGGTCCTGACAAGTGATCTTAGTGTTAAAATTGTTAGTCCTTAGCCACAAGTTCAGTCTGCCTGCCTCTGTCTACCAAAACAAATTTTCAAAAGACGGGAGAGGAAGCGGTAGCTGCACATAACTGCTAATGATTCCGGCACCATCCAGAGCCGAGCCCCAGGGGACGGGCTCTGACTCTGATTAATCTCTGTGCAGCTGGTGCACAGAGGTGACCTAGAGATGGCCCTCTCGGCTTCAGCTGGACTGTTGTGGCCGCTGCTGCCGAAGCTGGTCTTCAGAAGAGATCACTGGAGCGAGGGTGACATCTAAGGACAGCTCGTGGCACTCCTCTGATGCTGTCCATGGCACAAGAGGGACAGTGTGGCGTCTCCCTGTGTGCTAGGCACCTGGCTTTCCTCAGAAAGTCACAGGACAATGGACGGAAGATTCAAGATGTAACACACACTGAGATGTCCCTGGGTCTGTCTTGGCAGCAGGACACGATGTCGCTTCCTTTTTTTTTTTTTTTTAAGATTTATTTATTTATTTGAAAGGCAGAGTTACAGAGAGGTAGAGGCAGAGTCAGAGAGAAAGAGAGGGAGAGAGAGGTTTTTCATCTGCTGGTTTGCTGGTTCACTCCCCAGATGGCTGCAATGGCTGGAGCTGTGTCGACCCGGAACCAGGAGCCAGGAGCTTCTTCTGGGTCTGCCATGCAGGTGCAGGGGCCCAAGGACTTGAGCCATCTCCTACTGCTTTCCCAGGCCATAGCAGAGAGCTGGATGGGAAGTGGAGCAGCTGCAATTCAAACCAGCACCCATATGGGATGCTGACACTGCAGGCGGCGGCTTTACCCACTATGCCACAGTGCCAGCCCCAACATTCAGAGTTTTGATCCTGAAATTCTTTCATCTACAAATGGTTCTGTGGAACGCTTCCCCAGTGCACTAAGATGTAAGTTTGAAGACACTTAGTATTGACAATAATAAAGAAGTGTAAGCAACAAAATTTCACACTGGGGAATGCCTAAATACAAGACAGTATGTCGAAAAAAAAAAATGAAGTAGCTCTATATTGTAGTGGCACCAACATATTATGATTGTAAATATACAAAGTGTCTGAAAGATAGGCACCAAACTTCTAATTACTGTTACTTTTGAGCGGTTGCTCTGAAGGGCTTTTATTTTTTTATTTTAATATGCTTCTGTATTACTTCTGCTCTGTATGATGATCCTATACTATTTGCATAGTAAGAAATAAGCAAACACAAAAAGAACAAAACGAAAACCAAAATAAAATGATTTGTCTGATGCATGAAAGAATGCAGAGAGACCAGTCAGGCCCATGCAATCCTACAGAGACAATGTGCACAGGAAAGTTTGCTCTTCCTCTGTAGACAGACCTCACTGTAGGAGCACAGGGCTGCCTGTGGGGCTCCTGTGTGGTTCTGGGAGTTCTAGATGGCACAAAGAATTACAGTCACAACTTTTTGTCTTGCAATTTTCTGGCAATGTAGACTCAGCATAAAAGTTTTTTCTTATCTTTTCTATTTTCCATCTGCTGATTCACTCCCCAGATGGTGGCAACGGCCAGGGCTGGTTGGTTCACACCCTAGATGGTGGCTGGAGCCAGGAGCTTCAACTCCAACGTCTGTCTCCCATGTGGATGGCAGGGACCATCTTGCACTGCTTTTCCCAGGCTATAAGTAGGGAGCTGGATCGACAGTGGAATAGCCAGGACTTGAACTCTGGCCCTTAGGGTATACTGGCATCACAGGCAGTGGCTTTACCCACCACACCACAATGCCGACTCCAGTGTAAATGTTTTCTAACCGTAAGCTTCCATTGATCTCAGTGAGATTGCTGAGTGTCTAGAAACGCCCATGTGGTCTTTGCTTTCATGGTTTTCCTAACGCCCTCAGGCCACTGCCTCCCAGCCTCCCTCCCAGCACACCTGAGCCAGGGTGACACAAGATTCAGCCTCAACCTTCTCCCGTCCACTCTGGCGAGAGATGTTCACTCCACCTGCCTACAGCCTCAACCTTCTCCCGTCCACTCTGGCGAGAGATGTCCACTTCACCTGCCTACACCCCTGACACGCAGACCTGGACAGTCACCAAATCTGTCGTTTCCCATCCAGATGGCCCAGACCTTTGGGCTGACACGCAGACCTGTTTCCAGCTGCCGGCCAGATACTGCCCTCACCTACTAGCTGACAGAGGCGTTGTGCCCACAGTGGAACTACCACAAGCAGGTTCCTTGCCAAGCCGCTCTTCTTCCCGTGTTTTCTGGGCTGGTTAATTCCCTGCCTCCCACTCCCTGAAAGCAGCCACCAGTGGGGCCCCTTCCTTCCCCTCCCTATCCATCCGTCACTGCGCGTTCTGCCTCCCTCTCTGCCCAGTGGGGCCCTTTATTCCTGCTCACTGTACCCTCGCTCAGGCCTCATCATTTTTCTGCTGGGACAACTACACACACCTCCGAAGCGGCTTGTCTGTCATGTGTTCTTCCTGGGGACCTAACTCATCCTCCTGTCCACACCAGAACAAGCCCTTTTAAATCATCAACCAGATCACAGGAGCTGACTTCTCAGAGCCTTTCCGAAGCTTGCCTTGGTGTTCCGTGGGAAATCAATCCCAGCTCCACGGCAGGGGACAAGTGACCCCAGGATCTCACGTCCTCTCCCCTCGTCCTTGCTGGGACACTGCCATTTCCACGAAACGCTCAGGTTCTTAACGGCTGCTGCTGCCCACCCCTGAGGCTGGAGAGCTGTCTTCTCCCTCATCTGCCTGGCCCGCTCAGCTCATCCTCGGGTTCAGCTCATGCCCCCGCTCTGCCTGAGCGTCCTGTGGCCAGTGTTGCAAACCGCCACACACCTAGTGGCTTAGAGCAATGCAAATCCATCCTCTTACAGTTCTAGGGGGTCAGAAATTTGAAATCAGGGCCTGGGGGCCCAAACCAAGGTGCTGACAGGGCCTGGCTCCTGGAAGCTCTGGGGGAGAATTCATCGCCTTGCTTTTGTCCTTTCCTTTCTGTGCCTCCAGTGACTTCCGTGATTTCTTGGCTCGAGCCCCTTCTCCACCTGTGGAGCACATCACTGCCCTGCCTGCCCCCAGCGTCACAGCTCCTCCTCGGATTCCCCAGGGATGCCTGTGCTCACACAGGCTCTGTCTGGATAACTCCTGGGCCGCCTCCCATCTCAAGCTCCCTGGTTTAATCTCACCCACAGAGCCCCTTATGGTAGCAGGCCATATTTGCAGGTCTGGCAATGAGCCCAGGGATATAGTTAGGGGCCATTACTCAGCTGCCCCCTTCTGCCCTGGGAGCAGGAATGAGGAAATGCTTTACTCTCCAAAAAGGCACCAACTGCTTGGCCTGTATTAGTCCCCCACACTTCCTTATGGCACTTTCCCTGATTCCTCCATGTTTCTCAGTCTTTCTTTGAGATTCCATTTGACTTTCCCCGCGTCTCTTCCACCAAGACAGACGAGATATTTCCTGAGTATCTCTCTGTGTTGTGTTGGCTTGGCCAGCTTCTTTGAGCAATGCTCAAGCCAACCTCTGGGGACCCACCGTTCCCTCTTGTTCCAGAGGGTCAGCTGGGGCCAATCACTCGGGTCTGGAGGTGGGTAGGCGGCCCAGGCCCGCCTCACTGGAGCTTAGCATCAGTCTCTAGGGTTAATCTGCAACCCAATATGAGAACGAAGTGACACTGGTGTTGGGAGGATGAGCGATGAGTGTCTGACCTTGTGAATGTTGCAGGAATTACTAGAAAAGAATTGTCTTTCTAGTGGATTTTTTAGCTGGTGGGAGGTGAGCCTGGAACTGCTGTTGGTCCTCTTTGTGCCCCTCCTTGGAGCCAACAGAGGGGAACAAAGGACCAAGAGGTGGAGAAGACTCATGCAGCGATGTTTGGGGTCCCTGGGTACAGCTCACCCCTCGCGTTAGCACCACCTCCCCTCATCTCAGCTGTGTGAGCCGAAAATCCCTCCGTCTTTTTGTTTTCTTCTTTCTTTCTTTCTTTCTTTCTTTCTTTCTTTCTTTGCTGAAGGCAACAAAGTTTGAATTAATTTTCTGTAATTTGGAACCACACAAAATCTGAATGATACAATGCTAGTCAGAGAAAACAGCTCCTTAATAATAAATAAATATACATGCTTGTCTTGCTTAGGGTTGTGTATTGGTCAAAACTAGCTGTCTACATTATCTACAGGGACTCAGAGCTATGTAAGGGGATGTAAATATACAGAATCCGGAGCTACCTTTGGAACTTCAGTCTTTTGGGGTTGAGGGTGAGGAAGAAGGACATGGAAGGGGGAAGAAATGCTAATCCCAGTCTGGTCCCAGAAGAGAAATCTGCAAGTTTAATTTTGAAATACGGCCACTGAGAATATCCACCCGATTGCAGGCAAGTCACGACAAGCCCTTTTGCGTGGGATGTGTTTCCCCACAGACAGAAAAGCAGGGGGCACCCAAGAGCCTCAGGCGAAAGGCACTGCCTGGCAAATCCATGGGGAGTTTCCAGAAGGGAGCAGCAGAAGCTGGGCTCCTGGGGACAAGGACCTGCCCCGGTGAAAAGAGTGGCTTTGACAACCGCCGGCAGACGCCTTGCACACTTCCATTACAGATGCTTGAAGCAAAGACCACCTGCACAGCAGCTGCAAGAACCTGACAAGGTCCAAGGCCACTCGGCTCGCTCTGAGCAGGGGGCTGCCAGTCAACAAGAATGACAAATGCTGACAACAGCTC